AAAAAAGTCTTTTACCTGCTAGAAAAACGAGGGATTGGAGATGGTTTGTCTGCTGCGTGGTGTTATTCACGCAACATTCAATTTTACTACAGGTTTTGTCCAAAAAAAGAACCTGTCTCCTCAGCTAGACTTTAAGGCTTGTATATAATAAATGAAAACCTCTGCTACACTTGTAATTTATTTGTTGGTGACTAGAGCAATGCCTGTTTTCGTTGTAAATAATAAGTAAATCACTGGAGTGAATACAACATGATATGATCTCATAGCTGTGTCCAGGCCAATAAACTGACAGCAGGGTGAGGAATTGCCTTTGTGTCAGCAGACGGGATTGAAGGATGTTGAGAATGAGCCATCTAATGGCAATTCATGACTTTAAAAAATTTTTATTTTCCCCTCCCCCTCCCACAAGAGGTACAAGTCTTGAACTGATGATTTACCTGATTTATTTTCCCCCATCCTCCTTAATACTTGACTCGAATTTGACAGGCTGCCACCACTTGCAACATTATTTAAGAATTCACTTTTGTTCAGTCAGGGAGCTGATCTCCATGCAAATATGCTGTTCTCTGCTCTGCTGAGCGAAAGGGTTATCATTAGTTACATTGTGGGGCTGCCCTTAAACAAGACTTCTTGTCTGGATGCTGTTCCAAGGTCCTTCTGCTAAGCTGTTCCTCTAGCGGTGTTAGAAATACATAGCGCTTCCAGCCAGTAACTACAGTTCATTGAAAGTGATCTGAAGACTTGTATCTTTCTTTTTTTTTTTAAAAAAAGAAAAGTACTTGCCATTGTTTTTCTGAGTGGATCTAAAAATGACTTTTGTCAAGTAAAATGCCCAACAGTGACCTGCTTTCCAGAACACACTAGAGATTTAAATGAAACAACAGAGAAATGGTGTTATTTACCTCTGTGGATTGTTCTTTTGAAGACGGATGGGGAAGAAATAAAATGCAACAGTTATCAAGTAATTGAATCTCTGCTTATTTCGAGCACTCAAACTTCTCCTGAGCCAAGCTGCAAAGCTTTCTGTGCAGTAGACTTGCACTTTTATTAGTATTCCTTTAGAATGACACTTAATTGTGAGATCGGTGTGAGTACTTTGCATGGGAGTGTGAAGGGAAGGAGGGCAGTGTAACTCATCAACTGATCTCAGGACTATGGAGCCAAATTTGTATTAATAATAATAATGGAGAAAATGTCTTGCTGTGTAGAAGATTGCATGAAATTAGAACTTAATCAAAGATACAAGTTGCCATTTTGCAAAGAGAATCTCTTCTTTTTTCTTTCTTTTTCTTTTTTTTTAGTACTACCAAGGGAGATGTAATTTGCTACTACGGAAACAAAGGAGAACCAGAACCTATCTTCCTGAATCCGGGTAGGCTTATTTTCTTAAGGTTGTAAATAATATTGCTTTAGAGGGAGACACAAAATGCATCTGTGCTCTAAATGTTTATTTACAAAGAGGGAAAATTGCAGGAGATTACTCCTGGTTAGGTGTTTGAATAGTTGGAATTACTCTGAGACCTTCTTGCTTTAAAATTGTTTTTAAATCCATTTGAGGCAATTCCCTCAATGATGCAGTACTTCCTAAGGAGGCTTTTGCAATCGCCCAGTCCTGTCACTGGCTCCCTACAGCTGGATCCCCAGGGCAGTCATGGGATACAAGGCCCAACCCGTAGAGCTGTGATTGCAAGACCAGGGTTTATAACTCCAGCAGTGGCATGTTCAGAAAAATACTTGGCCTAACTTGGCTGACACTGACATAATGGTAAAACTCCCATTGGGATCATTTGAAGTCATTAAGAGAAATTTGCTTCTAGGAGTAAGTTATGCAAATGGGGAGCTCTTTTGAACATTCCTCATGCTGGTAGAGTAATTTCAAGACATTTGCAAATTCTCACATTCATTCCATGCTCTCCCCCAGTTGATGTCATTAAGACCGTTCTGTAGCAAATAAAACCACTGTTTATTTGAACTATGTTTTGTGCCACAGTTGCTCTGAGTTTTGTCGGTGGCATTATATTGCTTTTCATAATGTTTGTGGTTAAAAAGACTAAAATGATAGTTAAAATGCTTAAATGAATGCTGAGAAGCAAACCTGAAATGAGGCTGGTAGTTCCTAAGCATTTTAAATGAAAATATGTACATACAAACTTGAAGGCCATCTGTTTATATCTGTACCTTTCGCACTACATGGCTTCCAATTAATCCAATATAGTATTGTTTGGCATGATCTTAGAAGGAGCCCAGAACTGGCTTATAGGAAATGTTGCAGGGAAAAATTCAGAAGGAGCTTGCTCAGTACCTATTTGTCCTGTCAAGCTGTTGCTTTCAGGAACAGCAAATGCAGCCCTGTGGTACTGATGGGGACCCACACGCACAGCCAGCCTGCCTTGCACCCGCTCTGGACTCTCCCACCCATGCTGAGCAGTGGCAGTGGGTGGGCAGAAACTGCTGGTGGGCCTGAGGGAAAAGCACCCCCCACCCTTGCCACTGCTGGGCCATTCTTCTTGCAGCTGGTGCCCAAGCTGCCTTGCTGGTCCTGTACCACTATCGCTGCCACTTCCAGGCAGCAGTGGCAGTGCAGAGGAGCTCCAGGGCAGCCTGGGCATGGGATCTGGGTGGCTGCAGCAAGAAGCCCCTGGCAGTAGTGAGGGGGAAGGGTCACTTTTCCCCTGCAAAGAACAGCACCTTCTGCCCTGCTGCTGCTGCTCAGCATGGACGGGCAGTCCAGAGCAGGCACAGGATGGGCCGGGTTGGAGCTGGGCACACGGGTTCCAACTGGTCTGCTCTGCTGGGCTGAGTTCGGAGCAGGCCGGGGTCAGGGCTGTGCGCACAGGTCCCCACCAGTGCCATGGGGCTGGGGCCAGTGGTAGCAGCAGCCGGAAGGAGCCGCCGTCACCCTAGAAAGGCAATCCAGCTGCAGAGCCATGCCAGCTCTGCTGCATGCCCAGGAGGTAGCGTGATACACCATGGGCCGGGCAGCACCTGGATCAGGCAGGACCAAAGGACCCACCACCAGCCAAAAAAAAGACTCTCCATGGGCCAGATCCAGCCCACGGGCCATATTTTGCCCATCCCTGCTTTAAATGAACACATGGCTGTCATGGTGGCAGCTTTTAACAGGTAAAAGAGAATGAGTGGGAAGAAAGCAACCAGGATATTGGCCTAGGTTAAAAAACTGCTTTATTTCTTTTTATAAGGAATATTCAAAATGTGAGATACCTAGACAGTTACAGAACATAGGAATATATGTTTTATAGTGAGTTTTTTTTATATTAATGCTGTCCTGAAACACTAGTGACTTTTTCTGCTGCAGTGGAGAAAAAAGAAAAAGCATTATGAAAACTGGATATCTGCAGAATCTAGCAGAGCCATCCCTGATCTCCATGCATCAACAGAGTTTGTTCTCTATAGATGCGGCCTCCTAAGGGAGAGCTAAATTTTGGAGTATCTTCACATTGTGCAGTGAATGCTTATGCTCTTGGCCAGTTGCCAAGAAATGTAGGGCACCAGTGAGAAGAAACCTCCCTGCTGTCACCACTGAGTGTTGCTTTGCAGTTGTATTCAAGACTCATATCTGAGAGAGAAATAAATGATATGATTAAAAGGGATAAACTGGAAAAGACTGGACTGCAAAATGCACTAAGTAATTCTAAGGATACTTTTTTTATAAATTACCAGACCAGTGGTTTACAGTAATTGCTGCAAATGTGGATTAGAATAAAACGAGGAAGCAAATAAAACCACTTAATGTTAACACAGTGGAATACATAAGCATAGCTTAACGTGCTTTAGGAGGGCTCCAATCTCCTGCCTAGTAGCGGGGCATACGTTTTATAGCATACCTAATGATAAAAAGATTAGCTGGGGAATCATTTGAATGAGATTAAAAGTGGTGGAATCTGTATCTGACAACTGTAAATCACCAGCAAATCCTTTCTAACTAAGGTCCTATTTTTTTGGAAATATGCTAGCAGGCACACAGATAAAATGCAGCTAAAAGGATTCACAGGGATGGTTCTGTGAATGCACGAACCCTTTTTTCCTTATTTTTTTAAAAATTGTTATCACATATTCTCGTCATGATTCCACGTTCCATTTATTCTATGGTATTTAAAGCTGGAGGCATTGTTGGTTTTATTTTTCGTACAGTATCTGCTGTGTCACAATTATAAGGATTGTTTCATACTTAGGTTATATAATGTACTAATATTTCTATTGTAGTGTTTTTGTTCCTGAAAAATCTCTTCTTGATTATTGCATTTGATTTTACATCTCAACCTATACTTCATTAATAGCAGTGGCAAAAACCTACCATTCAGTTTATATTAGTACCCATAGTACAATGATGCCTAGATTTCTCTTCCCTCCTCCACCCCCGCCTCCCACACCCAATAAAACTGTCAGACTAAAATTTTTATGACCCAAAACAGTGAGAAATGGTTAGGTGTTTTATTAAGAGCTAAGCCTCTGGAAATCGGGCTTTATATTAACTGACTTTTTATTGCAATTCTCTACTTTCTTTTACCACATCGGTTAATGCCC